TAAGTGATTTTTTTTCTTTTATACCTTATGCATTTTCCAGATTTTCTGCAATAAATCTGTATAACTTTCACTGCAGAAGAATACACTTAGAAAACAAAGAAACAAGAAACACAAAAATAAATACTGCCACCTTAGAAGTGAAGTTTCAGTAATAAATAAGAGAGGGTAAACCTGTTATCCTTGAGAGATGGTGCTAGAGGGAGAGGAATATACAGATGTGACTGGGGTAGTATTGTCTCTCTCCTTTGTTTTGAAGAGATCTACAGACAGGGAAAATGATTGAGATCCACTGATCCAATCTAGTCTTTAGTCATTGGAGAGCCAAGGAGGGCTGAGTTTATCCTGTCGGGATTTGAACAGGATGTTCAAGGGAGATTAGGCAAGTTAAGACTTCTTCACATTGCTGTGGAAAGCACTAGCAATTTGCTTCATGTAAAACAGGCGTGATTACTCACTGTATTTCTTCATGTCATGTAGTAAAAACAATTAAGTGAAGTTAGACTATAGATTACTTGGCTATTCAGCCACAGTCACCTCTAATGGAAAAGAAGAAAAATAGCATTGACAAGTTTTGGCAGGTCTCATCATTAGAAAGGCCCATATTGCCAGAAAAAAAAAGAAGCTGCAGCCAATAACGTAAACCTCGAAGTTCTCTAGGCCCTGAAGATGAAAGTGACAATACAGAGTGTTGTGGCATTAATTGTCTGAGAGCACTGATCATTGTAATGGGGAAACTGTCTCTGTTATTAACACAATTATTTTCTGCAAGGTCTTTGAGTAAACGTCCCATTAGAAAAATAGCATTAGGGCTTTCAAAGTATGTGTAGCAATATGTAAAGATATACTCATTAGTAAAATAAAGTGTGACCTATATGCAGCCCAAAGTCCCTTGAAAATAGAAAGTGCTAATAAGTTGTTATAGTTATACTTAGTATATAATTAACTATTGAAAATAAGTAAAAAATGGCCCATTTCCTAAACAAATAGAAATTATACCTTTAAAATTTATCTGCAGAACATATCTATCCATACACACATATATATGCATCCTTATATGCATACATATTTATATAAATATGTTTTTTTTAGCCAGACTCTTAGGCCATTCTTCTGCTCTCCTTCAATTTATGCATTTCTTTTTTTTTTTTTTTAATTCTTTTTTTTCAACGTTTATTTATTTTTTGGGGGACAGAGAGAGACAGAGCATGAACGGGGGAGGGGCAGAGAGAGAGGGAGACACAGAATCGGAAACAGGCTCCAGGCTCTGAGCCATCAGCCCAGAGCCCGACGCGGGGCTCGAACCCACGGACCGCGAGATCGTGACCTGGCTGAAGTCGGACGCTTAACCGACTGCGCCACCCAGGCGCCCCCAATTTATGCATTTCATCTCCATAGCCAATCTCAGATGATTGGCTCTCTCATCTTAAGAGGCAGACAACTGAAAGATGTAGAATATTATTCTCTATGTAGGACCAAACAAGAGGTGGTGGCTCTAATTAAAGTGTGGGTTAGATGAACTCTTAATGAGCTGTTCAGATTTGGCTTTAGAACTCTGCTTTGCAGGCTCTATCTCCAAAACCAATAGTACTTGAGATGCATTTCTAACATTTGTGGCTCCTGCTGTTTTTGCCTCTGGTGTGCATTATTAGGTTGTGTTCAATGATGGTCCTGTCAAACATTCTTTTTTTTTTTTTTTTTTTTCTAAAGGGTAGCTAGCCCCCATGCAGTATTAAGACAGTCAACAGTTTCTTTTTTGGAGATAAATTCTTGAGTGAAATAAAGAGGTGGAAGGTGAGGAAAGTGGTACATGTTTGAACTGGTAAATGATGGCAAGTGACCTGGGGTATCTTGTATAGATTGACATAAGAACTGGCCTTCTCTAATCATAAATGGGGAGATAGCCTCCTAAAGGCTTCAGTTTGAAGGCAGTTGAGAAGTGAGCAAAGAAGAGCTAAATAATTTCAAAGCCCCTCTTGCTTCCCAGTTCTCTGTGTATCTCACCAAGGCAAAATGCTGCATGTAGGGCAGTTTATTTTTTTAAAGCATTTTTTGCTAATCTCCTTGAAAATCAGCCTGATGGGTATGAAGCCAATTTCTACAGACTTGCTCTGGTATATGTGGCAGAAGAGCCAGAAATACTTTTTTGTAGTCAAGATCTAAGTACTTTCTGAAATGTCTTCCCTTGAAAGATTCTAACTTAGCACTGTTATGGAACCACATGAACACTTGAGCAGAACTATGTCTTTTTTGAGCAACATTAACAGTGATGAAAAATGCACATTGGGCAATTAGATTGCAACTAATTAAGAGTACCACTTCAGTCTATTATGAATGATTTATTTATGGTATATTGGCTATGGAGATCATTAGTAATAATATAATACTCTATTATTATCATTATAAGGTCACATTGATGATCTTTGTGAAACATGACAATAATGCTATTGACCTACATTTTTTTAAAAAACTGCATTTATATATTTTCTTCTGTCTTGATTTATTGTGTAGAAATTTTAAATTGTTTGTCCTTATTGATGAGATTTTTGCCTCAATATAAAAAAAATAACAGTTGGGATGCCTAGGTGGCTCAGTTAAGTGTCTGACTGTTGGTTTCGGCTCAGGTCATGATCTCGTGGTTCGTGGGTTCAAGCCCCACACAGGGCTCTGGGCTGACAGTGTGGAGCCTGCTTGGGACTGTCTCTCTCCTTCTCTCTCTGCCCCTCCCCCACTCTCTCAGTCTCTCTCTCTCAAAACTAAATAAACTTAAAAAATAAAAAATAATGGGTTTGGGGTTTACTTGATTGATAAATTGGGGCCATAAGGTTAATTGAGTGCCAATCATAAAATATTGGACTACGACAGCTTAAAGTTTTTGTTCTCCAGCGGTGCCTGGGTGGCTGAGTCTTAAGGTTAAGCATCCAACTTTGGCTCAGGTCAAGATCTCACAGTTAGTGAGTTCAAGCCCCATGTGGGGCTCTGTGCTGACAGCTCAGAGCCTGGAGTCAGCTTTGGATTCTGTGTTGCACTTTCTCTCTGTCCCTCCCCTGCTTGTGTGCTCTCACCCTCTCTCTCTCAAAAATAAATAAATAAACTTAAGAAAATCTTTGCAGTTTTTGTTTTCCTTTTTCTTTTGTTTTAATTCACCACACTGCTTTTTCTAAAATGGATTTTTTGAAGCTTGTTTTTTGTTTTATTTATTTTTTCAATTTAAATTACAGTTAGTTAACATGCAGTGTAGTATTAGTTTCAGGTATACAGGATAGTGATTCAACACTTCCATATGACACCTGGTGCTCATCACAACAAATGGACTCCTTTATACCCATCAACTATTGAACCCATCCCCCCCACCAACCTAAAATGAATTTTTGAAGAATTTAAAACATAGTTTTTTTAATATATGAGTGATATATGTTCATTATAGAAAATTAGAAAATACAGATACACAGAAAGCAGAAAATCATATATATTTTACATACATATGTATCTTTTTTAAGCTGGACTCCTATAACTACTTTATAATGTGTTTTTTTCATTTATCAATATATTGGTAACATTTGTGCGTAAAAAATACATGTATCTATACACATACACATACCACAAACACATGTATATATGTATATATATGTTTGTGTGTATATATGTATATATATATGTATATATGTGTATATACGTGTATATACATATATATATGTATATACGTGTGTGTGTGTGTGTGTGTGTGTGTGTGTGCGCGCGTGTGTGTGTAGAGAAAGAGATACAGACAGAGGAAGACACAGAGACACAGAGACGTGAAGAAACAACCAACTATGTAAAGGAAAATTTTATATTTCCCCTCTCCCACCTCTTCCAGAGTATAATTTAAAAGCAGCAAATCAAAGTCATAGGTAGAAATTATATGAAATGACAAATCCTAACAATCTCTTATTTAATAGCAGCTTAGTAATCTATCATATGGTTATTCCATGATTTTTTTTAACTGAACTCCAATTATTGGGCATTTAGGCAATTTCCAGTATTTGTTATAAAAAACATCATGACAAAAATTCTTACACATACCTGTTTGTGTACATCTCTGATAATTGCCTTAGAAATGTATACATGCAGAGTAGGCCAAAAGGAATGCATGTTTTTAAGGCTTTTGGTACCTACTGATAAGTTGCCTGCCGTAAATAGTGTACCAAGTTACACTACCACTGAAGGACTTTTAAAAGTTCATATGTTAAACATCTGTATGACTTCATAGTGGGTACTGTACAAATCAAAGGAAGAAATGTATCTCTCAAGTTGAGTGAAATAGTAGGGATTATTATCAGGTATATTTCCTGCCTTGTTGCTCAGTAGCAAGTGTGGCCTATGGAGACATATAGTAAATTTTATAACTGTCGAATGAAGGAAGTCATGTGGGACATTGGAAAAATGACTGAACCAAAAGTGAAGGGACGTGGATTCTAGTCCTGGCTCTGCCTAGCTGCACATGTGACATTGTTCCAGCCATTTAACCTCTCAGTCTCTGTTTCCTTGGAATTGTTTTGAGGATTAAATAAAATGTGTATAGGAAAGCTTTTGGTAAACCATAAAAGACTATTTTAGTTTAAGAAATTGAAATTACTGTAAATTGTTTATATTGGTGAAAACTCCTTGAAACTGTGGTCATTTCATCTCAAAATGAGTGGTATATTGAATAATAATTGCATGGTATTAAGTTGGGACAGTCTTTGTGGGTGAGAATTCCATAGCCCTCTAGGTATACTTATTGTTAATTAAAAAACTCCTTATTGGCAACATAGTTAATATAATTGTGTGAGGTTTTAAGCAGACCTTTTAGGAAACTGACCCCATTATCCCTTGTGAATTACAAAATGAAGTCTTATAATCACACCCCCACACCTACTCCTGCCCCAACCCCACATGTGTCTCTTCCTTTCCCTAATAGAAGGACTGCTTTGGATCTGCTTGTACAGATGTTTGAAGGATAATTTGGCCTAATTTGTTTACAGGAATTACAAGGGTGACCTTTATTCAGCTGTCTCCTTTTTGGTTCCAGTAACTTCTGGATCTACCAAGGTATGTGCATTCTACACTGAAATTTACTTTGGGAATTGAACACTTTGTTGCACAATGTGAAAAGAAGGGAATGTTTCACTGATAAAATCAGTTATTTTCATTGAGTGTCATGTACATGAAACGCATTATTTTAAATTTCTAAAAACTTACTTGGCCATTGTATAGGTAAGTTTGTGTTTGTACTTCATAATTGAGAGTCTTTGCAAGATCAAATATGCAAGCTTTCCTACGTATTTGAATGACCCTATGACCTTTTTTATATACAGCTGCTAAAACCAAGAGACTCCTTGACTGATGGGAATATAGGCAAAGTATGTGGGAACAGCAGTGGCTAATGGATGTTTGCAGAACCATTTAGTGCTTCTCACTGACTGCAAATAAGCATGGTATTTCTCCATATCAATGGAAAAAATATTTTCATTCACAGAATTTTAATGACAAAACAAATATTTGCCTCCTGAAATTAATGTTTTAATTTTTTAGGAAAGTCTCAAGTAAAATATCTGTATTAACATGGTATTGCATTCATTTATTTACCATTCTGTCCTTCCTTTCATCCATCCATCTACCAGTCTATATGCTCAATAAATACTTATTGAGCAACTACTGGGCAAAAGTTATTGTGTCTTTTCCTTTGGTAAATGTGCCAATGTAGAGAGAATTCACCTGGAGTATTGACAAAGCATTTGCTTCTATATTTAGTCCTCTGGTACATGGAATATGTGAGGAAATGTGGCGAGAAGAGGGAGACTTGGAGATTACTCAAAATCTTCAGTTATCTGAAAGACATCCCTCATTGGCCATCATTCTTATTAAAAATATTGGTCAATGTTCAGTACTTAGTAAGTGAGAAATCGAGAATATTGTTTTTTTTCTTTGCTACCTGTATATTGGTAGTGCTATGCATTATTGTTCAAATATGAATTCTCATCCTAACTTGTAAAAAAGTGAAAAGGACGATCTGAATTTGTGATAAGTCTTTGGAATCACTTTATACTTTCTTTAAAATACAAAACAATGAAAACAATGAAATTACAGGGAAATTACATGAAAAATGAAATCCTTAAAATCTTGGAATTTGTATTGCCAATCGAAAAATACCGTACAGGTATAGTAAGTGGTTTCTTTTTTTCCTTAAATTGGGTTTCAGTGAATTGAGATTAGTCTGTAATGGGAATTTTAAATGGATTTGTCAGTTTTAACTATGCATGTAGCTCTATTCGCCATTCTTCTTGAGGTACTGCCTTTAAGACAATACTATTGCCAAAAAGTTCAGATCACTATAGGAGAAAAAAAGTATCAGAAAATAAAATGACAGATTAAAAGAGAAACTTAGGAAGGAAGTTGAGATGTTTGCATTTTGTATCATTTGTGGAAATAATGTTCTTAATTTGGAAGTTGTGAGTTTGCCAGTTGCATATTATTAACTAAGAGGTATTTTTTTAATACTTAAGGAAGCTTAAATGTGTGAAAAATGATAGTCTTCTTAACCTAAGGTGAATGAATAGATCAGAATGGAGGAAAAATGCCTAACAGGCCAAAAGAATGCACACTTATGAAAATAATTGACACTAAATATTTAAAAGGTTCAGAGAGCAGCTAGTTTTTTCTCCCTTAGAGAGACAACATGATATACTAGAAAAGCCCTTGCCTGTTAATCAGAAAACCTGGGCTCTGCTCCCAGTCTCATACTAGTGATATGGGCCTCCTCAGGTCACTTTTCCACTCTGAGCCTTGGTTTTCTCATATCTATAATAAAAACTCTGGATAGCTCCAACTTTTTTCCTCCTCAGTCTATGATTTTTAGAAAGCTAAGGGCTCTTCTCAGGTATGCAAAATGGAATGAAGATTGGCCATTCAGTTGGAATACACATACCAGTTGTTAAAAAGATTGCTGCATGTTTAAGTGGTTTAGTGCATTGATAATAGGGCATTTATTTGTTTTATGTTGAAGTAGTTGTGTATCCTAACCCACTGCCCTCCCCACCACACACAGACACACACACACACACACACACACACACACACACCAGTATTGGCATTATAGTAAATCAAGTCAAGTACAAGCAAAGTTAATAGTCTTATTTTCCTCCTTGATAAAATGCTTAACTTCAGGATGCTGCTGTGCTGCTCCTAAGTCTCTTGAAGTTCAGCAAAACTGTGTGTTTTCTTCCTCTTGCAGGGTGGCCATTCAAGGTCAAGCATGTCTCTGTAACTTGGAACCAGCCAAGTGCATAACCCGATGAATTCAGACTCCAGTGCTTTCAATCTGGCACCCTTCATGAGCACTGAGTTCATATTAAAACATTTAAAATATATTCTTCATCTAACATATCACAGCAATAACAGCCAGGGCACTGGACAGTGCATGGGAGCAAATAACCACTTGGAGTTAATGATCTGAGGGGTAGCCAAAGGACCATTGACTCTTCCTAGTCAGTCCTTTATCCCTATACAGGCCTATTCCTTGATGCCAAGCCTTCAATATTTTTCTGTCTCACATCAGGGTGAGTAGTGGCCATAAATACTAGCGTTTAATACATAATAATGAGATGTGGTAATGCAATAAAATATCAACAATTCTAGTACTATATAGAGATGGTTATTCTGATCAAATCCAAAAGAAGGAGTGGTAAATGAAGTTCATGAATCATAATACTTTAGAAGTGACTTTCCCTTTATTGATTTGAAATGAAATATAAGTAAGAATTCATATGGTTTAGGGGAGCAGTTCCCTTTTCTTTTTTGCTCCTTATTCTACTGATGAATGATCCGCTAGAAATAATAAAAAAAAATGCCTCTGACATCTATTTTAAATAGATTTTTAAAATAGTGTATGTTCAGCTTCCCGTCCTTTTTTAACACTATATTCAGCTTTGGAGATATATACAGCTCTGACCTAAGTAACAAATACAACTCTACAAATGTTTCCCTCCTCCGCCCCCCCCCCCCCCGGAAGAAGCATTTTTCACTTATTTATTACTGTGACAAACAATAAATTTCTACAACATGCCAGGTATGGTGCTAGGTGCTGGGGAAACAAAAATCAGTAAGGGGCATGGTCCCCAATCACAAGCTCACGGTAGATAGGTGAAACCTGACTTACACACATAGAAATAAAAGAATCAATTTTGGTAGGTGTGGAATGCATATGAGTTTATTTGCTCATGGCATTCATATATATTTTTAATTAAAAACATTCACATATCAGAACCTACCCAATAGGGCAGTTGAGATATATAATCCTGAATAGCTCCCCACTCAAAAAGTCTTTGGGAATCACTGGTCATGGTAGGCAGAATGGTCCCCCAAAGACATGCATGTCCTAATCCCTGGAATCTGTGAATATGTTGCATCACATGACAAAGGGTAATTAAGCTTGAAGATGGAATTAAGGTTGCTTATTCAGCTGACCTTAAAATAGGAAGGCTATTCTGGTTAACTGGGTGAACCCGTTGTAATCACAAGGGTCCTTAAAAACGTGAGAGGACATTGCTGGCTTTGAAGACAGTGTCTATGAGCTGAGGATTGGGAGGTAGCCTTTCCAAGCTGGAAAGGGTAAAGAAAAGGATTATCTCCTACAGTCTCTAGAAGGGGATGTAGCCCTGCCAACACTTTTACCATAGTCCATGAAGACCCACTTCATACTTCTAACTCTCAGAAATGGAAGATAAATCTGTGTTGTTTTATGCCACCAAGTCTGTAGTAGTTTATTATAGTGGCAATAGAGAACTAGTACACTAAGGTTTACCCATTACAGAAAATTTGCAGCAAAGTCTCTAGGTAGCAGTCATGATTGCTGAAAGGCATGGTTTATTCTGATCTTGGTGCACAGGGATATTTGTCTAGTGACCCTTTTTTTCCCCTGGATATCCATTACCAGGCCCCTCCATTAGAAGTACAAGCATTTATGAGATCCCTAAAATCCCACCAACAGTCTCAGGGAGAATATAGCACTCTTCCTCTCTCCTTGTACGAACCACTTTTGTCCCTTTACACCATCCCCTTGCCCCCCCCCCCACCTCTCTGCATTGATGTCTAGAATGCAAAGTTCGTGGATAGGTGAAAAGTAGAAAAATTTTCTTTCTTTCATGGGACACTTATAGGCACTACTGTCCCAATAAATTATCCTGACAAGGGTTTTATGACAAGCATAAAGTTGAGAATTGAATATAGTATGAAACAGAAGTGTCAAGCTAGTGGCCTGCTGCTCAGGATCAGTCCTCAGATATGTTTTGTTTGCAACCCAGGGCTCT